CTAAAGAAGTAAGCAGTGACTCACAAAAGCTCATACCCTACCAGAAATTTTGTTAGTCTTTAAGGTGCTGCTGGGGGGATGTACAGGAAGGACAGGATTGCCCGTTGGAAACAATGGGAGAAGCTTGAAGGCCCATTGAAAATAATAGGAGACAGTAATGCCAATTGACTTCCATGGACTCCACTGAAATACATTAGAGTACAAGTAGAGTTCCAATAAAAATGTGGAATGGGTTTTCTATTAGGGTCTCTGCGCCCAAATACACTACTCTGGGGATGGAATGAGAGACCACGGAGTGGAATGACAGCCCCAGGGTGGAGCAGGAGTGTTCAGGGCGTTGCCGGTCGGACACACGAGAGGTCATTCTGGCTCCTCCAGCTCTAGTTAGGGGCTCTTTGAGAGCCAGTTTGGTGTCGTGGTTAAGTGCGCGGACTCTAATCTGGAAGAACCGGGTTTGATTCCCCACTCCTCCACTGGCAGCTGCTGGATGACCTTGGGCAGGCCATAGTTCTGTCAGAGCTGTCCTTGAAAAAGAGCAGTCTCTGTCAAGAGCTCTCTCAGCCCCACCGACCTCACAGGGTGTCTGTTGTGGGGAGGGTTCAAAACCCGCTCCTCGTGTCATCACATCACACGCGAGAGGTCCTTCCGGCTCCCCCTCGTAAGGGGCTCTTTAAAGAGATATGGCCCAACTCCCGGGAGCTGGTCGCTCTCGCAGGCGGGCGCTCCCGGTGACGTCATGCGCCACGGCGCACCGGCTCCCTCCGGCGCCCATCCTAGACACCGGAAAGCCGCGCCGTCACCTTCCTAACGCTCACTTCCGGTCTCAAGCCGACCGCCTTCCCCACCCCCGGGGGGGGGGCGAGACTGTACAAACCATAGCTGCTTCAGACCCTAGAGCGGCCGACCAGAAGAGGGAGGCCGTCTCGTGACCGGAAGTGTTGTGCGCGCGCCGCTCGAAGTCACAGCTTCCCCACTTCTTGGTCATGCGACCGACCGAAGCGACTGCGCAGTGCGAGCCCCGCCTCCACCGACAAGGGGGCGTTCCCATTGGCCGAGTGGCTCGCCAGTCTTAGCGCCTTGGAGGCGCGGACGTGACAGGCGTTTGTCTGAGGGGAGCGGCGCTGAGGGGGAGCGTCGCCCGGGAACGCCGAGCGAGGGGGCGGAGCCTAACTGAAAAGGAGGAGGGGCTTGTGAAGAGGTAGGAATAGTCAGTATAAATATTAACAAAGGGGGTGGGCCTCATGTAAATAAGGGGCGTGGTCGGTGGGGTGGATTTCAATAAAGGGGAGTGGCCAGAGTTAAAAGGGGGGGGCTCTTTGAATGTCAGTGAAGGGGCGGGGCTGCGTGGGCCTCAAGAACGGGAGGGGGCCCGGAGAAAATGGGGTGGGGGGTCTATTTGCCAGTGAAGGGGAGGAGCTTGTGTGCAAATATCAATGAAGGGGCGTGGCCAGCAGAGTGTAGGGGCGGGGCCTGTATTAATAAAAGAATGGGGATTGAGGGCCGACGTCAGTGAAGCGGCGCGGTCGGGAGACGATGGATCAGGGCCGGTTGGAATATTAATAAGGGGGCGGGGCTTGTGGACAGGGGGCTGACCTGACCGCCAATACAGAGGGTGGGCTTGGATCATGTGACCGTCAAGGACCAGTAAGGAGTCAAAGGTGTGTGTGGGGGGGCTGGCTTCAATGTAAATAGGTGGGGATTTTGCGCGGTTGCCAACTCTGGGTTGGGGAGCTCCTGGGGATCTGGGGGAGGTGCCTGGAGAGGGCGGGGTTTGGAGAAGGGAGGGAGCTCCGCAGGGACGGGATGCCACAGAGTCCCCCCCCCCCCCAGCTACCCCTTTC